AAGGTTTATGTGAGCCTATGGATCCTATGGAAAAATATTCAACAAGCACCATGAAAAATCTATGAGAAATGATTTTATAATTTCTAATTGCCTTGAACTAAACTGCTGAATCCATATGATACCTTAATTTTGTGAATGAAACTAGTTTGAAATAACTGTTGAAGTTGTCCTTATTCTGGCTCCATCAAAGTCAGCAATTTTACTGCTAAAAACAAAACATATTCAGTCTCTCCGTCAATCCTACCCTTAGCTGAAAACATTCCTCCCACTACAAAATGTAGGAAATTTGTCACATTTTCCTCCTCCTACTCAAATGTTGCTGATGTCAGAGAATCTAAGATTAGCAATAAACAAAGGGGGGAAAAAACAACTCTGAGTGAAAGCAATAGAGGTAAGCAACTTGTTTTTCAAATCAACTTTTCCTCCAGGAGAAATTAAATATAACTCAAGGGAGATTATGGAGATTAAGATTGCATTTATTACTTGTGCATTCAAAAAAAAATGGAAGTTAAAAAAGATTAGAATTGATGAAATCTGAATTTATACTGTACATCCCTATATATAATGTAGATTCTATAATACTTGGAACAGAACTCTAGAAAGGGGGGAAATGAATATTGCTGACAGTATTCAATGTCACAAATTGTTTTAAAATAAACTATGTGCATAAGGTAAAGCACCCACTAACTATACATTATATATCTGCAATCTGTGCACAGGCTGCGAACCTTGGCCCAATTTTAGATACTCCCACAGTTGTTTTACTTTCTTGTTCCTTTTTTTACCCTTCCCTCCAGCATTCTTGACCTCACAATATCATTCCTATGTTATAAATGTAAGTACTTTGTTTCCCATGTATGTTTGTAGGCATGAGTAAGAGAAAGAATATGCCATTTGGAAGTGGAGCTAGCATGGAAACAGTCAACATGGAGAAAAGAAATTGGGCCCTCAGCCTGAACTTTTTAAAAAATTAAACTAAAAAGTGAATAGTGGGAGGTAGAACAAAAGGTTCTGGGCAAGGAATCATTTAAAGCAGATTCCTATTTATTTATTTTTGAATGCACAGTTGACTTATTGAACTATCAAACTGCTGATATCGTACTCAACGGATTTTTTTTCCCCCTCACAGATCTAACAAGTAGTGTTATTTTAGGCATTGTCAAATATAGAGAGGAAACATAAATGGCCAATCAATGAAAAAAGCTTAAGATTTCTATAGACTTTAAAAGTAGGGTCATCCGGGAAGCCAATGAACCCAGAAAACAAGAAAGTAAAGGGAGAATAAGAAAAAAGGGACACAAAGAATGCTGCTTACTGTAAGTTTTGACCCTGTTGTTATACCAGCATCACAACCCAAAGATTTTCTCCAAAGGAATAGTCCTTAAAGGGAAAAATGGTTCTATACTGCTGTGCCCGTCATCTCTTTCTGGGAACTCAAATATTTCAAATACTTATTACTAGTGTTAAAATTTAAAATTACACTATAGTTGCTCTTTTAATTATAGTACTTCACCTAAAATTACCGGTACTATTTTCTCACAATAAATTACCTTCTGGATTAATTTGGTTGAAATGTAAGGAAAACAAATTAAAAGTTTATTTTGCTCCCTGTCATGCTTTCTGTATTATGTTTGTATGCTACTCAATGAAATAAGCTTTGGATAGGTAACGTAAGTTATTTAAATTGTCTCTATGCAAAGAAAGGAAGCTTTAAATTGGTTCCAACACAGCCTTGTGATAGGTTCCCATGAATGGCTACTAAACTGTGTTTACCAGCTTCTGGAGAGAATGGCATCCATACCTCTAACATGGCCAATTCTTCACCCTTGTGCAGGATACGAAATGAGTAGACATGGTCGGGGCTTGGATCTGGGATGAATTCACAGCCCACCAAGTTCAAAGCTGGTTGAGCTGCTTTGCTTCTGTTTTTATCCTGGTAGAAGTGGAGCTGGCCATCCTTCACATGGCACCAGTAGGATTTCCATTGGCTGTTCACCAGTACATTTAAATATGCTGTGAAGAAAGAAATGTTGTTTTCATAATATTTTTTTTCTTAATGGAGCCCAGAATACTCTTTCAATCCCCTCTAGAGATGATCTGTTTTCAGTGAATAAGAACATGCTCACATACATAATTTTATTGCCCTGGGCAGGCTGCTAAACTAAGAGACCTCTAATATTGCTTTCAATCCTATAATACAATGAACATGTTAGTCATGCCACTATATAAACTAAAATCCAAATTCGGATATTAAAAAGCACTTATTGTCACTAATTAATTGATAAAAACACAGCCATCACCATCCACCTTTCAATCCCCAACCAAATACAACCTATGCTATATAAAAAAGTTATGGCTTAATGGTCAAAACTGGATTACATTGCAAAAACAACAAGAAGAATTTTAGAGTGACTGTCAGAATTGTCCCAAAGGTATTACTATATCCTCTATGGATTTTCTACAAGAAGACCTAAAAGAGCATTGGTGGCATGCTGTCTATTATTTGTCAGTCACAATGGCTATACTACAATTCTCATTTGCATCATTTTCCAGGATTGTCTTCCCTGCAGGTGGCAGCAATTCAAATAAACACAGAGAAGTATGTGCAGTTCATAAAAGTTACTTACTGCAGGTATCCAAAGATCTTTCTGGATTGTCCAGGGAGGTAGACTTCTTTCTCCCAAGATTCATCAGGTTGCTAAATTTTAACCCAGGTGTGCATTTCTTCTTCGCTAAATAATAAAAAAGCCACAAATTAAATTCTATTGCTGAAGAAAATGATCATTATAAAGCAGATGCAATTTAATATGTGACCCACCTTCACAACAGTATGAAAAATACTTAAATAACCAAGTTTTTGATAATCCAATATTTTTAAAAACAAGCCATGATTTCTGTTATTTTCTGAATGTGAAGCTTGTTTTTCACAGAGGCCATAATGAACCAGACACTGATTCCTTCTTGGAGATACTTGAAGGGATGCAAAGGGTTACAGAAATTATAAACTATTTATGTGCCTGAAGATATTTAGCTGTTCTCAATTGAGTGATATTATCTTGATAACTATGAAATATGTACTTGTAGATGCAAGTATTCAAAAAGGGAGATATGAAAAGTATACTTGTGTTGTTGGAAAAAAATGCCTCCTATTTTAAATCAGCTTGGAACAAAACAAAGCTTGTTTTTCATACCATTCCTTTCCTGCTGTCACTGGAGTCCTTGTAAGGTAGGTTGGATAGAACATAAGCAACAGCACTGTACACCAAATGTGTAGATTGTCCTTCGTAACCTATTAAAATATGCTAATATGATTGTTGACACATGCTTGTAATTTTCTGCTGGGATTGTATCTTTTAAGTAATTTCTGAACCACTATTTCTATAAAATTTGATTTTGATGGGGCTAAGCAGATCTAGCTGATTCATGTCTGCCTAGACTCTCCCTCAAGTTGTATAAAGGCATCATCCAACATCCCTTCAGCTGGCAGAAAACTATTCTAGTATAAACTGTGCTGCCTCTATTGCTGATATTTATTCTGCTACAACAGGGGTGTCAAACCCAATCACATCATGGGCTGCATCGGGATGTATTGGGGTTGTTTTTGCCCTTGCGGAGCTGGGGTGGGCATACTAATACCACTCTATAAAGCCCCCGTAAGACCACACCTAGAATACTGCGTCCACTTTTGGTCATCACAGTATAAAGGTGTTGAGACTCTAGAAAAAGTACAGAAAAGAGCATCCAGGATGGTTAGGGGACTGGAGACTAAAACACATGAAGAATGGTTACAGGAACTGGGCATGGCTAGTCTAGTGAAGAGAAGGACCAGGGAAGACATGATAACAGTCTTCCAATATTTGAGGGGCTGCTACAGAGAGGAAGGGGTCAAGCTATTTTCTAAAGCACCCAAAGGCCAGACAAGGAATAATGGATGGAAACTGAACAAGGAGAGATTTAACCTGGAAAAAGGGAGATTGTTTTCTGACAGTGAGAACAATCAACCAATGGAACAGCTTGCCCTCGGAAGTTGTTGGAGCACCATCACTTGAGACTTTCAAGAAGAGATTGGACTGCCATTTGTCAGAAATGGTGTAGGGTCTCCTGCTTGGGCAGGGGCTGGACTAGATGACATACAAGGTCCCTTCCAACTCTGATTATCTGTTATCTGTTATTTAATCCTCTCTTACCTGTCCTGATCCCCTTAGGACAGGATGGGACAAGTTTAGAACAGTAAGATTAGCAACTAGTGGCAGGGGCTCCTTCCAGAGAAAGTTTGCTGCCCACAATCTTTTCTGCCTGTTAGCTATTCTCAAGCTATTATTCTCAAGCTATTTCTGTGTCAATACCTGGGTTCTGAAAGATTGAAAAATTGAAAGGTAAGAGCACAGAGGAGGAGCACAGGGGTGAAATATTTTATAGTTGTTCAGCAGGTTATTAATCCTTATTTAAACAAAAAAATAAAACCAGCAAATGATAGATAAAAAGCACAGAGGGACATATGGGATGAAGTGGGAGTACCTGATACCATAACTAGTGCTGCAAGAGAAAGGCAGTACTTGCAGTGAATGACCAGAAGACTAGTTCTAACCTCAGAATTAGCAATACCAGGAAGTAGCTGAACCTATGTACCAGAGTAGACTTCTTGAATTTTGTCATTTTGTTTACCCATGGTATTTAGTGTCACTAAACAGTTACCATAGTATTTAGTATCACCGGAGTCAGAATGAAGTAAGCAATGACATTGCCCTTCCTAAAGGCAACGTAAGTAATTGTGGAGTTACAGGTGAAGGAACTGCCATTATATAAGTCTGGTCCTGGAAGCATTCACTAGTCAGGAGGAAGTTCTATTGTTCCTCAGAAATAATGATGATAATAATCAGTAAAAAGAATCCACCTAGATAAAATCCTTATCTACTGTAGCAGTGGAAGACCTTCAGAGCACCTACTGGCAGGATACACCAATTGTCTGCCTCCCAGGACAGCCTGTTTATTCTTTCAAAATTATTGTAATCTTGTTTAAAAATCAGGTTTAGAAGCATGCTAGGACCGTTTTTTAGGATCAGCTCTTCAGAAACTCCAATCAAATTTTCCAAGGGAACATGACTCTGCAGAAGACAGGCCTCTGCCACCCATTCCAAGATGGCTGTGGAGATCAACTCACAATAACTAGAATAAGGGATATGCATGCAGGAGCCTAAAGCAGCAAACTGAGCAGATCCTAGCTCCAAACCACATCATCAGCTAAATGATCAGTAAAGTGTGCCAGATCATGTCCACAGCAAAAACTGCGTTGGAAGAGAAGACAATTTTCAAATGCCTCAGATATGGGCTGGCATGAGACAAAAGCCACTTAATGAGTACATGGCAGGGTGAAAAAATGGTAAAGCATAGTTATGGTTGGAGGGAGGTGAGAAAGACACTTGTGATTAAAAGTTGTGTTCTTTTCATCTGAACCATTCTCTTTTCTGCAGAACTGGGGAAAGCATTTGTAAGCATTCTTTTTCATGTATTTGCAAAACCCATCAGGTTTTTACAATAATCTGCAAGGGATGACTGAAAATTCAGATGAGGTCTGTTGCAAATAGAGGGTGTTTACCGGGTCTTAATGTGGTTGTCCTTTTTTGTTTCTATTTACACTAAATCCTTTATTGCCATTTTGATGAAACTTTAATTCTTCGTATAAATACACACAATGTTTCATGTAAGAAAACACATAACTTCAATACATATTCTTGACATGTAAACTCACTGGTTAGGTTTACTGCAGTTGACCAACAATTTAACAAAGCTGCTACAAGTTTCTGGCCTATTGGTATTATTTCCAATGCTTTCAGTTCAGAAAAAATTACCCAGGTAATAATCAAATCTAAAACATGCTTCCTTTCCAATTCCAACAAGTTCAATAAAATTTAGTTTCAGGTAAATTGCCTCTTCTTTATGATATTGTTCTGAGTGGCAACATTTTCTCTCTGTATTGAGAGAAGGAATCACCATATAATGCCTTCTTTTTTCAAATTCCATCCTTTGGGAAGGGATCAGAGCTTAGCAGGAGAACATAAGCATTTTTTTTCCACAGAAAGTCCCACAGTTGATTCTTAATTAAAAATTCAGACAGGAGGAGATGAAAAGGATCTCTTTTTGCTCGAAACCTGGACAACCAATGCCAGTCAAAGCAGACAGTCGTAGATTGGACTGACAAACAGATATATGGATGTTTTCTATGTTCTACAAGATACTCTATTTCATTATCCCTGGTAGAAACTACATAGTTCAATTAGTGTGGATAACAATTTAACTTGGCAGAGAAGCTCTTCTGTCCAATTCTATTTCAACCAGGCACTCTGCAAATTCAATATACAGCAGAGACAGATGCTTTAATTTCTCTCTTCCTCCTTCTAATTCAAATGCTTCCTGCCCAGAGCCCTGCAGTTGTCATGGGATTACAGTTCCCAACATCTATAAAAGGTACTAGATTGGAGAAACTTTCTGAATTCAAAGTCATGTTACCATCTTTTGTTTCCACCAGCTCCGCGTGACCATCAGTGTTACTTCCACTCTCTGATGGCTCCACCTGCAAAGAACAAAAAGCAATTTCTATGACTAAAATTGAGAACATTATAAAGTATTGGGTTGAAGAACTCGTCTACCTGTTGAAAAGTTATATTTTGTGCTTGGAGCAATGTGAGAAAATGAGGGATAGTACAGTGAAAAAGCACAAATATTGATGTATCTATTGGTCTTGGAATGTTATCAGATTTACAAATCCTCACTAAATAAACAGCTGTTTCTTTTTTATTTGACTTCAGGCAAACAGCAACATGGCTTGAGTGGAATACTAAGCACACGAATGGAAAAACTTGATTTTTCCACCAAGCTTCCTCTTTCATAACAGTCATTGCCCAATGATTGGCTGATTGGCTTAAAACATGTTCATTTAATTATAATACTGATATTAAAATATAAACAAATATAACAGTACATTCTACAAAATGTCCTTTTACTCTCAGTTTAATTTAACATACTTTTTTAATGATTTGGCAAGAAATATATTGGGAAAGGATATGTTCACTACATCCAGGAAAATACAGCTCCTTTCGGGATACATACACATTATAGAATTCTGAATGTAAGCTTATTCTGAATTTTGAAGAATTAATCATATTAAACAAAGAGGAAAAGGTATTTTCATGGTCACCAAGCCATGTAGAAAGTTAACTTTAAAAACTCCTTGGCATCAATTGACCAAAAAAAGCGAGTTAGATATCACCCAAATAATAATCAGACCACTTCCTAAAATTCCACATGAGCTAGCAGCTTATTGTAGATATTTAAAAGCATATAGAATCCTTCAGAGCTGAATTAAGTGGCATAATGTAAAGCAGGGGTGTCAAACTGGTGGCCCATGAGCTAGATGCATCATGCATTGGCCACACCCACTCCAGTTCTGCAAATCGGAAAAATGTCATGTTTGACACTAGTGCTGTAAAGGAACAACCTAATGGTACTATTTCAGCCTCTTCTGATGGCTGACACTATCTAGGATTGTAGAGTTAATGATTTGCCTCCCAGAGTCATTGAGCTTCCATTCCCACCCTTAAAAAAATTATTGGGCCCATAAATGAATGAGTTTAGTCTCATCCATGGAAACTGAACACTATCAATCACTTTCATAGAACAAATCCAAGTAGGAATAGAGATAAGCCATTTAATCAGCAAACTATTTTGCAAATGTATCACAGCAGGTTATTGGGAACACTCCCTTCTCTTCTGCAGCTCAGCACATAGTAGCTCCAACTGAAACAACATCAACAACTCCATAAGGCAATTCTGGGCTGACTCACCAGTAGGAAAGAAGTCTTTACTACCATCAGAATAGCCTTTTCCTCTAGGTTATGTTTGACTAAATTTGTTCCATGTTTCCCATCCCAGATGCTTTCCTTAAGCTTCTGTAGGGATGTATGTGGGGTTCAAAAATGTGTGTAAGAATGCTTTTTTATATAATGTTTTCATTTGGACAGAACTAAATCTTTAAGCTCTCTTTAAAAGCAATTTGAAACAAACTTATTACAAAGATGAATGGATACAAAGAAGTGTTGTTGTGAAGGGATGGAAAGATGCTTGAAGCTGTTCTCACTGCAGCATCCGAAAAAGGCTAGAGTTTCCTGTTTTGATGGGTGGGAATTACTTCCCTTATATAATCAAGTAGTTTTAAAATATTATGCAACAGAAGGTTTAAGAGCTAATTTTTAAGCATCCCTTTCAAAAGGTAAGACATACTTTTGGATTATTGAACCGCTGGAAGTCTGGAACGTACTGATTTCCTTCACAGGGCCCCTCGGGATAAAGACCACTTGTTTCTTGGATTACCTAGGAGGGGGGAAAGCATGATGTAAGCAATTTCTTGTCTTATGACCAGCTACATATTTTATTTTCTTCTGCACCTAGAAGACTTCAGCTAATTTTAACTGAAGCAAAATTCAATTTAAGCAATGCAATTTTGAAGTCGAGATACGGAAGTCGAGCTGTTCCAGAAAGTTCTGCTTGAGAGTGAAGCCTAGGACACATGTATAAACAGCACACCAAATCAGAGGATGTGCTGGGCAATCCCCTCCATTGTTCTACGCTAATTGGGAATTATTTCTTATGCAACAGTCTCTGGGCCTGTCAGTAGAGATATCAAGATGGAAAACACTATGTGAGCCAACAACATTTTTTTAAAAACAATTCCTCTTTCACCTATTAGAAGAAGAAAATGATTTTAGTTTCTGTGCTATACTGACCACTGTAGATTAAAACCAGTCATGAGAGGCATAGAAGGTTATCCCAGTTTGGGCTGACAAAGGAACCAATATATGTATACACTCATGTTATACCAATATGAGTGTATACATATTTTTTTTTGCTGTGGTTAGTTTAATTTAGAAACAGAGGCTTGGCCCTTTGCCAAGCAGTGTTCTTGTGCTTTTAAAAGATTTACCAAACAGCATGTACTTGCTTTGTACTTGGACATTTTTACTTGATTATAAATTATTAAGAATTTCCTTGTGTTTTCACAGCTAACCTCAGTTCAGAGGTCTTCAGTATGGAAAATCAAGATGATCCAGATGCAGAAAAATCAAAATAATAAGTACAGAAATATCAAATAGCAAGGGCATGGCCACATAACATTGAACATTTATCCCTTGAAAAGCTTAGAAGCACAGTAATGTGTAAGTAAACCTGTAACTTAGAGTACCAGTTGTAAGCACCATTCATTTGGTGCCGTCATTACTTTATATGGTTGCTGAGTGAGTGGTCATAACTTGAGGATTACCTGTATAAAGTGTAAAATGTTATTGAAAATTCTCTAATAATATATTAATTTAACAAGGAGCTTTTACTCTTCCAATTCCTACATTTGCCCCTGGGCTCCAGTGAACTCATCAAGTATATTTTATAAATATGCGCTTTCTTTTCCTAAAGGCATTGTATGCATTTTTAAGGAGGAGCCTTAAATCACTTGACTGATAAAGCACAAGAATACTGACTGCCAAGTTCAGTATTGGCATTTGCAATTGTGGCTTCAACAAATCCCCACACCTGGAGTAACAGACATTGCCAAAAACCAAAAAAAAAAAAAAGGCTCCACTCACTCTGAGCCATTGTTCTGCTTGGTCTTTACTTTGCAAACCCAAGACGATCACATCTGCATTCATGGGGATGATCTTCAATTTATGCTCCTGCTTTCTCAGATTCTTCTCCTTGTGAATGACACTGCAGCTCACCAAATTAACATCCAGCTGAGGACTATGATCCTTGGAAGTCTTGTAGCACTGGGAACAAAAATAATACAGTAAGATTATTTATTATTTTCTTTAAAATTATTTAAAACATTTGTTTGGCTGCCCATCTTAAAACCAACTCTTGGGTGGCTTAGAACCAATCACACAAAAAATAATCATAAAACAAAAAATGATAAAACTAAAAGAAAATAAGGAAAACTTGGCCCAACAACTGCACTTCCCAGATGGCACTCACAATAGTCTCATCCCACTCTGAACTCACCCTGTTGCAACCCTTGGGGGGAAGAGCCTGATCTTAATTGCTCTCCTGAAGGTTAAAAGAGAGAAGGCTGTTGGTCTCAGGGCAATGGTGTTCCTTAACCTACTAAATGACTGTCAAGAGGGTTAGTAAAAATGTTCAGTCTAAGATATCTGAAAATTATGTATCCTAAAAGTAAAGTTGCCTTCACCTCCTACTTATAGGCTTCCCAAAAGTATTTGTTTGCTTATCTCAAGGAAGCAAGTTCATACATGAAGTAAACCCTTTGGATTTTATTTGCCACTTCTCTTTTCTGAATCCTTTGTGTTTAAAGTTTTACCAGAAAAACTTCAAGACGAATTTATATTTTAAACATACTTTCTGGCTCACCAAATACTTACCAACAGTCTGTTCTCTTTAATCATGCAAAGCTGTTTGGCCCACTGGCCCAACCATTTCTTTCTCCAGAGAAAAGCACAGATCCGGGCATCTTTCATAAGTTCAATAGATGCTTCAGGTGATGGCCACTGATGAGGGGCTGACTTGCCTTTAGTGCTCTCTTCCTCATCGTAGGATTCATAGGAGCTGCTGACTGCTTCATCATCTGCATCCAAGGGAAAAAGACCACTACATTTACATCCAGGTTAGAAAGGGATTCAATTTTTCTATCCTCCACTAGGTAAGCTCTAAAGCATTTCAAGATGTACAACAAAGATAAACAGAAGTAAATATGAAAAATGGCTTGAAAACTTGTAAAGTTTAAACCATCACAACATGTTCAAAAAAATATGCAACTTTACCCCCATTCCACTTTGATCAACTTGCAGAAGATCCAATCCAATCTTTAAATTTTATAATAATAGCCAAGTTGTTCAACTATTACAAAGTCTGTATTACTATTACTGTTAATCTCATCACTCCTTATCACCCATCCATTCCCACTTGTGATTGTAGGATTGTAACTTTGTTGCTTGTATCCTTATGATTTATATTGACTGTTTCCTAGTATGATTTGATTGCTGATTGTACCCTATGACTATCATTAAGTGTTGTACATTATGATTCTTGATTCTTAATGAATGTATCTTTTCTTTTATGTATACTGAGAGTATTTACACCAAGGCAAATTCCTTGTGTGTCCAACCACACTTTGCCAATAAAGTATTCTGTTCTATTCTTTTCTATTCTGTGTAGGCTGCAATCATAGATCAAACTCTAATATAATTTGAAAAGTGAATGGGATGAATCACATTCATATGAAATAATTGTTTGTGTGTTATCAGGTTGTTTTTGACCCCCAGAAAATAGGTAGATTTTCTTCATTATGAACTATCCCTAATCTTTTCTTTCAATCATGCACCTTGCATTCAACCCTTGCATTCATTTTGATAGAACCAGTATACAAATAATTTGAGTATCTGTATACTCAACAGTCCTGTTTAATTAACCCAACCAAGCTATAGTGGTATGAAATAAATATCACAATGATATGTTTGAATAATATGCATATTACACATGGATTTTATTCAGTTTGAAGTTACATAATATAATCCCTTTTATAAATTCTATGTTCTACTACAACTGATACTCTTCAAATGTGTTAAGATTTCAATATCCATCACTCTAAGCCAGAATAGCTAGTAACAAAAGAACTGTAGTTGTAACTTATATTGCATTAAAATAATGACTTCCTATTTTTAAAAATCTGTGAATATTATAAAAATAGGAAATAAAGGAAAAGGAAAGTCCGAAGATACCATACCAAAAGTACATTCACAAACTTGCTTGGACTAGTTAACACTGAAAATAGTGCAATGAACAGTTTAAACTTATTATATGTCACTATTTTTTCCCCTGACTTTTGCTCTGATCACTGATTTCTTCATGTGGAATCCAGCATTTAATTTTGGTGGGGAGGGGATAATATTTATTTCATGAGCCTTACGCACATGTGGAAAAAATATTACAGCAAAGATGACTAACAAACAAGTACTAGAGCGCACAACAGTCATGTCATTAGAAGGCAAAACTGCATCTCACTTACTTTGGCCATGCTATGTGGGAGAATTCACTGGAGAAAGCAGTTATGTTTGGAAGTGTTAGCAGTGAAAGGAAATCAGGCCGTCAAAGAACATGGTGGCTGGACACCATCAAAGCTGATACCAGCCAGAGCATAGAAAAACATAAAAAAAATAATGCAAGATCGGAAAATGTGGACAGACCTGGCCACTAGAATTGCCAAGAGTCAAACTCAACTGAATAGATAACATCATCATCATCATCACTGGTTCTTAATTCTGCTACATTGGCTCCATTTCAGTTTGCCATTTTCTTCTCAGGAAGTCCTCTTGAGTCTCATAGTTAAACATAGAACTTTGTTCTTTTTTTGGAGCAGAAGAACACTGAGGCAGTAATGCAAGTAAATTTATTATACCCCAAGATCATGCCAGAAAAAGTATTTTTGTTGTAGTAAGCAATTTACCATCTGTTCAATGGTGGCTGGATTCTATACACCTTTCTTTCAACCATTAGACCTAAACTTTCTCATTCAGTTTGTGGATTTAAATGGGATCAGTTAAGGCAGTGATCCCCAACCTTTTTTATGCCGCGGCCCGGTACCGGCATCAGCTGGGCGCCGCGGCCCGGTACCGGCATCAACTGGGCGCCGCCATCTTTTTTTGATGAAAAAGTGCTTCCGGTGAGCTTTCTACCCGGAAAAGCTCACCGGAAGCACTTTTTCATCAAAAAAAGATGGCGGCGCCCAGCAACCAGCGGCCCGGTAGGACTTGTTCCGCGGACCGGTACCGGTCCCCGGACCGGTGGTTGGGGACCCCTGAGTTAAGGTTTCTATTTTGCAATAGCTTCATAGGCACACCCTGAATAGTAAGCTGTTTGGATATGTTCTTTAGATATAATCAAATGTTGCTATACACCCAGTTGAAGATGTGCAAAATGATATAAAATGAAGAAATGTGACTAAACCATATTGTATACTAATAGATGTAATCTTTTATTTAGAAAATGACTTTTTTTCTCTATAGGTAAGCACTAGTTTTTTTTTTTACTGTACCATAGTAACATTTCATTATGTAGAAGGAAAGAATATTCAATGTTTATTAATCACTGAGAATAAATCTACTGATTTAGACTTGGTACACATCTATTAGTTGTATGAAGGATCAAAAATTGGGATAAAAACTGGTGGAAGAACCATCAACTATTTTTGATATGCTGACAACACAACTCTCCTTACAGAAACCAAAGAAGACCTGAAACATCTGGTCAAGAAAGTCAAAGAAGAAAGTGAGAATTTTGGACTCTTTCTGAATATCAAAAAAGAGCAAGCTCATGACCACTGCAAGGAAGGAGGACATCAAAATAGAAAATGGTGGTGAAGAAATAGAATGTGTGGAATTTCCCCTCCCCCCAGGACTGCAAATAGCACAGAAATAAAAAGCCAGATTGACCTGGGTTGCACAGCAATAATGAACATGAGCCAAATATGGAAAAGCAAGAACATCAGCCTGGCAACCAAATGTAGGTTAGTTCAATCTGTTGTGTTTTCTGGAGCTACCTATGGGTGTGAGAACTGAACCTTAAAAAAGCAAGACAGGAAGAAAATCAATTCGTTTGAGCTGTGGTGCTGCTGCGTATTCCTTGGACAGCAAAGGTGACTAACATACAAGTACTGGAGTGCATAACACCAGTCATATCACTAGGAGGCAAAATCACTAAACTGTGTCTTACTTACTTTCACCATGCCATACAGGGGAATTTACTAGCAAAAGCAATTTTGTTTGGAAGATATAGCAGTAAAAGGAAACCAGGCCATCAAAGAACGCAGTACTGGATACCATAAAAGTTGACACCAGCCAAAGCATAGAAAAACTCAAAGAAATAGTGTATGATTGAAAGATGTGGAGAGACCTGACCTATAGAATTACCAGTAATTATACTTGACTGAATGGATAACATCATCATCATCAGTTGCTTGTATTATGTATCAGGGAAATGTTGAACTGTTCACATAAAATATACTTGTCTCGAAGGTGCATTTTTCAAGGGCAACTGTACTATCTTGTTTTCCATAGACATGAAATATACTTATGAATTTGTTGACTAGATTTAAATATTGCCCTTCTTTTAGAAGTTTAAGGCACCATATATGCAGTTGGTCCTCTGGCATTTCCCCATACAACAATCCTTCAAGGTAGGTTGGACTTTAAAAAGCACTTGGCTCATTGTTATCTGGTGAGCATTCTTGACAGATTGGCGTAACTAGATGAATCAAGGCCATTTTATCTTTGTATTCACAGTGAGAAATTTTCTGAAAAACCCTCATCAATGTGACATTTGATTATTCAGAGAATTGTTCTGATTCTGTTTTTCAGAAATAAATCGGATATACGACCTAAAAAAAGGCCATTTTATCCTTGTATTCACAGTAAAGAATGCTATGAATTGGACAATCTAATTGTCTTCATACCATGTTGTCTTCTTCTAGACTTGTACACACAAAATTTTTACTTTTTTCATTTAACTTTCTTCATCTAAAATCTTTTTTTTTTTGGTATTTTTGAATTCAGCATATGAAAGATCTTATAGTTTCTGAGCAACATGCTGTTCCCCAGCTGCAATTCAACAAACCCCAAAACTGAGCTTCTGAATGCTAAGGGAGAGTTGCTTCTTACGAAGCAAAAATGTTCTGCCTACAAGCACTGAATGATTGTAACTGATCATGACTGATTAAGGAATTGCTTTTAAAAATCAATACCTGGTGCTATTTCTTTATTAATGCTCCTAACATAGATATGTTTTAAGGATGGAAATAAGATTGAGGGGAGTCTGGTGAAAGATTCTCACAAAACAAATGACAGCCAGGGCACGAATATTCAGATTTTAAATCTGAATATGCCAAACCCATAATTAACATAGCACATACTACTCTCAATAATCTGCAACACTGGACTTGTCCCAGTAGCCGAAAACTTAACATAAAAATTTGCATGATGAAGGATGAAGAAGGAGAAAAAGACATCTGAACTTCTTACTGATCAATGAATTAAATAATTTTAACAATTGGAAGCACAATTTATCTACCATGTTTCTCATATAATAAGGCCGGATCTTATTTTTTTTTGAGCCCTGAAAAAATGGCTAGGCCGTCTTTTCGGGGGTGACTTAATTCCCCCCCCCCATTGCATCTTCGGGCGGGCGGGCGGCGACAGCTTGGATGTTGACCTCGGCATTGGTGGGGCACTTCGTATCGGGGTCAACGCAGGCAGCACCATATCCCGGTGTGCAACAAAAGTACTTCCTAACGGCAAGCCCCCCCACCATTTCCCCCCATTTCACATGTTTTAATATAGGCCTTAATTTGGGGGGAGGGGCTTAATTTCATTTCATGCCTATAAAACATGCTGGGACTTCCTATTGGGGGAGGCCATATTGTTGGAGAAACAGGGTAAAACATATAGTGATAATTAGAATCAGCCTTCTAAAATATTAAAACAAGCTTTTTTTTAGTTATGATCAGAACAAATAAAATCAGATGGTTCTGACTCAGGCTAAATAGCTAGCATTCAATATGCACTCTAAAAGATACAGAATATATTGACTGTCGTGATTCACATGTGATGCTGAGACCTCAGTACAATCATTAGAATCAATGGGCAGGCCAAGGTCAAAGACCTGTTGGAAGAGCTGAGGCAATGAATTTCAAATAGAGGAGGAAGATGCAGCATGAATACATAAAGTCTTAGCGCTTCCAGAGAGATATCTGTAAAACTTATTATTCCAAGGAGAAAATCTAAGTCAAACGGTATCAATATCATATTGAGCTGAATGTAGTCTAGGCAATTCTGTCATTTAATGTTCTTTTTCAAAATTTACTTAGTAGTATTACAATCATAGATGTAAATCTCACATTTGCAATTTTATATTTGAGCATTTCTTCCCCCATGCAATTGAACTGATTGTTTTTAGAATAACTTTTTTCTTTCTAGCTCGCACCTGAACAAAACAATAATAAAACTCTAGAAATATACAATTATGTACCGTTTATAGAAACACTGTAAGGTTCAGCTTCTTCATAGTACCCTTCTGGAGATTCATTTTTGAGGCCTGAATGTAGTTTTGATTCTGGAATCTGTACAATATACATAAAAAAAGATAGGAAATAAGCAGATAAAAAGTTTTAAAGCAGGTTCTAAATGTTCTATCATCAAAATTAAAAGGAACATTCTCTTATGAAAGCGAGATCTATTCCATTCACAGAGCTTACAGTTATAACAAATTTCATATTAAACCAAGAATAAAAGACAAGCATTGTAGCATTACAGAACAATGCTACAGTTACAACTTTGTATATTTTTCCTGAGTATGAGTCAATGGAATTTTCTGAAAAACCCTCATCAATGTAACGTTTGATTATTCAAACAATTGTTCTGATTATGTTTATCAGAAATAAGTCAAATTACATTTTCCTGTGATGTAGATGCAGTGATAAAGTGACTTACTCTTGAATTTAATCACAGTTTAAGATAAGACATAGTAAATGACATTCGTTATGTCCATTATTTTTCATCATGGCAACAAAATAACGGATTACAAAGATATAAATAAAGGCTTATAGAGTTTTGATGCACAACGCTAATTATCATGAAAAGTCTCAATTTTCTTCAAAATTTAACATCAAGAATGCAGGGTAAATCAGTTTTAAGAAATAAAAAATATTCAAATTGAGAATTAATCTAACATGAAAACCAAATATTTATTAAACATTTATTTGTAAATTATTAATAATAGAAACCTGTAGTTGGAGGAAGGTAATCATAAGTCTAAGTATAGAATCCTTGAATGCTTATTTTATAACTGTATAAGTGCATTTCAGTTTTCTCAGTAACTAGAAGGGTTGAAATATAATTTCAAAGTCAACATCAGCAAAAACAGAGGTAAGTAATTCAATACCTTAAAAAAAAAATCCAAATTATTTGATAGTAACAAATTCAATTAATCCACTGGCCAACATATAATACTCACACTTTTTCTGTTTTAACTTTCGTATCTTTAATGTACCTAGTTTGAAGAATAAGCAGGCTGATACATTATCATCTTAATCATCTTTTTTTCACCCTGGGATTCTTCTTTATCCAGAAAAAAAAAATCATCTTTCTTCTCTGACATCTGACCTGAACTTGTTGGAAAGGAAAACTCATCTTTAATTGATTTAATACAAGGGCCTTCAAACTTGGCAAGTTTAAGACTTGTGGACTTCAACTCCAGAATTCCTGAGCTAACATGACTGGAGAAGAAATTCTGGGAGTTGAAGTCCAGAAGTCTGAAAGCTGTCAAGTTTGAAGACCCCTGATTTAATCCATACTTAATAAGAATTAAATCTACATAGTTCAACAAGAATTAAATCTATATAGGGAAAATTAAATAGATAACTTTCAGGAAAACACCTTTTAATAA